CGCGCCAACTTTGTGCGGGGCGCCTTCCTCCCCTTCCTCCTCCTCTCGGTGCGCTCGGGGGATGGGGGGGGGGAAAGGAAAACAGGAAAAAACACTGAAGAAAAAGAGAAAAAACCAACCAAAAAAAAAAAAAAACCCACTCCCCACAAACAAACAAAAAAGGACAAAAAAAACCTAATTAAAAAAAAAACACAAAAACCCCCCAAACAAATAAAAAAGAACAACCAAAGAAAACCCAAAAAAAGAAAAAAAACAAAAAGCCCAACAAACAAACAAATATAAAACGACGACAAAAAGCCCAACAAAAAATCCCACCCCAAAAAAAAAATCCCCCCCCAAAAAAACCAAAAAAACAAAAAACAAACAAACAAAAAAAACTGGCCAAAAAATAGCAACAACAAAAAACCTCAAGAAAAAAAAACCAAAGGAACCGGAAAAAAACCAAAAAAGAAACCCCAACAACAAAAAAGCCAAACAAGTGAAAAACCCCCAAAAATCAAACAAGTAAAAAGCAACAACAAGAAAGCCCCCCCAAAAAACCCCAAAACATTAAGAACTCCAAAAACCAAACAAATAAAAAACAATCCAAAAAATCCCAACACAAAACCGTGAAAAAACAAAGAAACTCCCAAAAAACAACAAAAAAGTGCGAAACCCAACGTCTGTGTGTGTGTGGGGGGGTGTTTGGTTTTGCTCTGAGTTTGTTTTGCAGGCTTGTCATCATTTTATACCAGGAATATGAAAGTGAAGAAACTAAGGTGTTTTGGGGTTGTTTTCTGTTTGGCTGGTTGGGTTTTTTAAGTGATTTTGAGGGTAACTTGCATTAAAAAAAAAAAAAAATAAAAGTGGTTTGCACTTGACTGTTGTCTGCCCCAGGTTTTCAAACTCTCATCTAACTCTCGCTAAAGCTCTAATCTTGTGAAAAACTTCTGTGGGCTTGGCTTTTTGTGCCTGTGATTTGTTTTTATTGAATTTAAATTTGGATTTGTGTGGTTCACAGTGTTCAGCTAAGACCTGCAGTACGCCTGTGAAAAGGGAAAAGGTGAAAAAGCAAAATACTACAGATGTGGAAGGTGAGATAGAAAGGACTTATCCTCCTGAAAAGACACTTTGTGTCTGCTGTGCCTCTTTTTTTTTATGTTCCTCAAGTGCTCTCAAATGTCTGTTTGGTTCTTAGCATACACAAAATACATCTGTGCAAAGGTTCACTTAATCC